CATGCTGTTCTTTTGTGAATGGAGTAGGAGGACTATTTTTTTGGAATGTAATCATGCTGTTCTTTTGTGAATGGAGTAGGAGGGCTATTTTTGTGTTATAATGGCAAAACGTAATTGTGGGAGAGACCACAAGGCCCTCAAAGACTTAAATATTTAATATCTGGTCCTTTATAGAGGAAGATTATGAAACTCTGCTCTTATCTGTTTCATAACTAATCTTCAGACTCCTGTTATTTGTGGTGGCAACTAAGTAAGGCAATGTAATCACTAATGAATATAACAAGTAGGCTGAATTCTTTACGGTCACCTTCACATCAGAAAGATGATGTTTTAATACCAAACTATCAGCCAAATGAATGTTTCCTAAGTTATGCTGACACCTACTGGTATCAGTGTGAAATCATAGATGCAAGAGCAAATCCTTTACCCAGATCAACTATATCAACTGCCCTTTATTGTTAATTCCCAACATTAGAGTCATACTTCCAGACTTTGTGGTAAGGGTTTCACTTGGTAAAAATGATCACGACTAAACAACATGAGAGAAGTCTGTGATTTTAATAAGGACTAGAATCCCCTCCTGTGAAATTCATTTTGAATTAAAGTCTCAATGTAGCATTTCCAAGTTGCTGTATTTTCTGTGAACATTCAGGATGCCATATCTGTCTCTAAAGTTCAAGTGCAATGCTATTGTTAACATCAAAATTACACAGGCATTCCCTATCATGAGCTGATGAAAGGAAAGAAGACTCAGACAGGAATACAAATGCACGAAGACTAGAGATGCCTACCAAAGGGGACTGTGCACATGTTGGCAATATGGAGACAGATGGCAGACACAAAACCACTTGTTTTCAACCTTGACTACCTGTTAAAATGCTCTGTGGAGTTTTTAAGCCGAGCGTTCTCCAGTGCGGCAGAACTGGGTTTACAGGCTTCCAGAGAGTTCCAAAACACTAAGTTATCATTCTCCCAAGGACTGGGCTTAGAAGTGTCACAGTGTCACTTCCACCACAGTGAAAGCAGGGGCAGGCCTCACTCAGACTCAAGACAAGGACTCGTAAGCAGGCAGCTTCTTGTAATTCCATGAAGACATGCTGCCTTTCAGAGCCCCACATTCAAAGGGCTGCACTTTTGCATCAGCACTCTGGTGTTGCTTGAAATTTTTCATAATTTTCGAACAAAAGCGTTACATTTCTCTTTTGTACTTGGCCCCACAAATGTAGCTCCTCCTAGACATAAACCATGCCTTTCAATGGGAGAAGTGTTAAAAATATTTGTTGCTAATGCACATCTGTAATCCAAGCACATGGGAAGCTGATGTGGAGGAATATGAGTTGAAGGCCAGCCTTGGCTACAAAGTGAGACCCTATCTCAAAATGCTCCCTCCCCCTCCCAAATATGCTATCTTTTTAAATTACATGATGGCATGAGTTTGGAGAGCCAAGGGCAACTTTGGGAGTCAGTTCTCTACTTCTACCATGTAGGTTTTAGGGATTAAGCTCAGCTCATCAGGCTTGACAGCAAGTGTCTTTGAGCTCTGCTGGGCCCTCTCACTGACCCAAAAAACATACTGTCTTTAATCACTCATGGGCTACCTGCCGGAGCTTTTCTTCCTCACTCTATATGTTCAAAGCTATACTTTTACATTGTACAGTGAGGGACTGGAGAGCTGGCTCAGTGGTTAAGAGAACTGACTGCTCTTGCAGAGGACCCGGGTTCGATTCCCAGCACCCAAATGGCAGTTACGAACTGCCCTTAACTCCAGTTCCAGGGGAATCAAAAGCCCTCTTCTGACCTCCATGGCATTGCACGACATGGGTGCACTCACATACATGCAGGCAATATGCACGCATGCACGCACGCACCCACACATGCACATGGAGAAAGGAAAAGGAATAGGTCCACAGATTGCCTAGTGGCTGGAGGAGATAACTCGAACCTTCTTGAGAGCATACTTAAGGAGCCCTTTAGTTGATTGCCTTCAGCTGGGTTTACCCCATTCTTCTTTCCTTGCTTCTATTCATTAGGGATATAGCATTTTTATGACCTAACATTTGGTGGTGTTTTATGTTACTTGGTAATGTATGCCAATCATTGTTAACTTATTTTTCTTTAATTCTCATTTTTAATCTTTGAAAGTCTTACTTTTTCTTTACCTTAAAGACTTGTATTTGTTGATAAGATACTATTCATTATTTTTATGCTTTTAACATTGATTTTCATCTTTCTAATTT